GGAAGAAGAAGGAGCTCGACAAGTGCCTCGTCCTTGGATGCAACCGGAAGCACTCTTGGAAGGAGTGCTGGAGTCGACCAGATGGGTGGAAGCCTCAAGGGTACCCAGGAGAGGCTCCACCTGTCACTAGGCCTGAGTGGGTGGAGAGGAGGATGAAGAACGGAGCATGGAACAAGAAGGGCAGCAAAGAGAAAGCGGCAGCAGTGGCGGCAAACGAGGATAAGAAGGGAAAGGAGGACTTATCGGATGATGGCTTCTCCTTCTTATCCTTAGAGAAGGAGACGGCGCTTGCTGGTCGTACGTTGGCTGACCCCAATCAGCTCATTCTAGACTCTGGAGCAACCTGCGGAATGGTACCTCTGCGCGACCTCTTCACCACTTATCACTCCCTCCCACCTAACTTCAGAAATGTGATTGTGGGGAGCGGAGATACGCTGCAAGCAATCGGCATCGGCAACATCACCGTCATGGGGAAGGAGGGGGAGGTGCTGAATGTGAAGGGTGTGCTTCATGTTCCTGATTTGGCAGCCAACCTTCTCTCATGCTCTCAACTTGCGAGGCAAGAATACATATGCACCTTCACCATGGAAGGTGGCACCGTTCGCAAGGGTGGAGCTGTGGTGATGGAGGCCAAATTAGAGAAGGGCCTATACCTTGTTCCAGTTTGTGTGCCTCAGGTGGAGAGGGCACATGGAGTTGAAGCCGAGGAAGCCGCTTGTAGCAGCCGTTGGAGGGACGTGGAGCAGGTGACGACAGATTTGCTGCACCTACGCATGGGGCATGCAGGAAGGCAGCAACTTGTGGAGTGTGTGAAGAAGGGGGAGCTAAAGGGTGTGGAGATCAAGGAGGGTGGTGGGCAGCTAAGCAAGTGCCCTGATTGCACGACCGAGAAGCTGCCAAGGACCTCTTTCCCTACCTCCACCACTAGAGCCTCCGCACCTCTTGAGTTGGTGCACACGGATGTGTGTGGCCCCATGCAAACACCGGATAGGGAGAAGGGCAGCAAATACTTCATCACCTTCTTGGATGACTTCAGCCGCCTAAGTTGGGTTACCTTGGTGAAAGCCAAGGATGAGGTGGCCAAGGTGTTCAAGCGTTGGATACGCTATGCGGAGAGGGAAGCCGGGGCCAAGGTGAAAATACTTAGGTCCGATCGGGGTGGGGAGTACATGGGGAAGGATCTGGAGTCTTTCCTTGAAGACAAGGGCATCACTCACCAGCTTTCAGTCGCCTACACGCCGCAGCAAAATGGGGCAGCGGAGCGGCTAAACTGGACCCTCTACCCCTGACCCTAACGCACCAGCCCATGACCCGGAGCAGCCACAGGGGCAGCAGCAGCAACAAGAGAAGCCGCAGCAGCCACCACAGGAGCATACACCACCTGTTCCTGTGGGTAGGTGGCAGCAAATACTGCAGCAGCAGCTGTCCAAGTCACCACGGTCCCCCATGAAGAGAGTGACTTGGAAGGAGAAGCTGCAAAGTTTGGAGCAGGGGGAGGCATCACCTCTGCGCCGCACCACACGCATCTCCCGGCCACCCGAAAGGTTCACACCAAGTGCACAGTATGCTTGCATGCATGATCATGAGGTGCACGATATGGAGGAGTGCATGCTTGTGGATGCTGAGGGGGGTGAGCTTGGGCTTGATTTCTGTCTCATGGGTCAGGTGCATGAGCCTAAGTTGGTCAAGGAGGCCTTGTCCCGTCCTGAGTGGGTCGAGTCCATGCGTGAGGAGCTTGAGTCTCATAGGGTGAACGAGTCTTTTGAGCTGGTTGATCCAGCTTGTGTGCCACCTGGAATGGAGGTCTTGAGGTGTCAGTGGGTGTGGAAGTATAAGCACATGGCTGATGGGAGTATTGAGAGGCCTAAGTCCAGGTTGGTGGCCATGGGGAACACTCAAACACGAGGCGTTCACTATGACCAGGTATATACCCCGGTGGGTAAACCTTCCACCCTGAGAGGTTCCCTTGGGATAGCAGCATCCTCGGGGTCTCATATCCATCACATGGATGTGACCACCGCCTATCTTCATGGGGTCTTGAAGGAGGAGCTTTACATGAGGCAGCCCCCTGGTTTTGATGATGGGTCCGGCAGAGTTTGCCGACTCAAGAAATCAATCTATGGGCTAAAGCAAGCTCCAAGGCAGTGGTACCTCAAGTTTGATGAGGCGCTGATGGATTTTGGGTTTGAGAGGTCGGAGTGTGACCCCGCCTTGTACCACTTGGTGAGGCATGAGGGCAGGCTGTCCCTTTACCTCTATGTGGATGACATTCTGCTCATGTCTTCGAGCATGGTCTTGCTGGACGATGTGAAGGGTCTCTTGTCCTCTCGTTTCCGCATGAAGGACTTGGGGGAGGCTAAGTACTATTTGGAGGTGCAGATTGAGCGTGATGAGAGTGGCATCTTGATTCATCAGGAGAGGTACATTCTAAACATGCTTGAGTCCTTCGGGCTTTCAGAGGCTAACCCCGTGCATACCCCTCTCCTCGCAGGGTTCGACGTGCATGCACATGCTGAGGAGCCCTTGCTGAGAGATGAGCTGGTCCGGCTCTATCAAAGCATTGTGGGGTCTCTCATGTATGCAAGCACGACCACACAGCCGCAGATTGCTTATGTAGTGTCACAGCTGTCCAAGGTTGTGTCTTGTCCCAAGGCATTTCACCTGCAGGCTGCTAAGAGAGTGCTAAGGTACTTGAAAGGTTGTGTCAAGTCAGGTATCTTCTACCCCGCACACAGCAAGCCTCAGGTCGAGTTGGTGGGCTTTAGTGATGCTGATTATGCTGGAGATTCAGCTGATCGCAAGAGTCACACCGGCTATGTATATTGCCTCAATGGTGCAGCCATCTCTTGGCAGAGCAAGAGGCAGCCGGTGGTTGCATTGTCAACCACTGAGAGGGAGTAAATCAGTCTGTGTCAGTGCATTCAGGAGGGTGTGTGGCTGAAGCGTTTGTTTGGGGAGTTTGGGCATGAGTTTGCTGGTGGTGTGCCTGTATTTGTGGACAATCAGTCTGCCATTGCCCTTGCACAGAATGCATGCTTGCATGGCCGCACCATGCAGGTTCGGTGGCATTTCATCAGGGAGATGGTGGAGTGCGGCGAGGTGATCCTCCGGTGGTGCACCACCAACCGTCAAGCAACAGATATACTCACCAAACCCCTCCCTTTTGAGCGGCATGGTGTGTGCATGACCTTGATGGGGATGCAGCCCCATGTCAGCATGGTGCCTGAGCAGGATGTGGGAGGACTGGTGCTTCTCTGCTTTGATGACCTCATGCTGTGGATGGCGCCCTTCCCTGGGCAAGGGGGAGTGAAGTGAAGGATTTTGCCCAGTGGTGTTCAGCCACCTCCAGCACGAGCAAGGGGGAGTGTTGATTGTGTAGGTGGTTGTGGTATTTTGCTCTAGCTGGTTGTGGGCTAAGGGTTTGGGCAAAATGTGGTGGTTAGACTTGTTGCGGGCTGGTATTGATCTCGCACCCAACAAGCACCAACAAACCTTTGCTATTCACTACAACACCTTTGGTGTTGCTAGTTTAGCACTTTGGGTTGTTGAGGATTGTTGTAGGGCGAGGTTTGGGTTGGTAGGGTTTGAACAACTCGTCATTTTTCAGATCTGAACTCTTGCTAAAGCTAGTCTTTTGGTCTAATCCATGGCTGCCTACTAATTCCGCCAGAATACACTGTCGCACTTAAATCGCGATAGCGATTGGCCTAGATCTTGGTTGAGAGCGTGCATTACTATTCTGGAAAGTAGAGATTAAGACAGTTCAAACGCGTACCTGCTCATAGTTTAAGGTCACGTGAGCAGCACGCAATGTTCCGTCGAAGTCGGCGGACTTAATCTCTTGTACGCTCTCCAGATTCACGCGCTTTCCATCACGTACAGCACTGGAGGAGAACGAGGCGGCTCTCCGAGGTCAGTCAGCAGGTAGGTGAGCCAGCGAAGCTCCTGTGCAGCCATGGCTCCTGCGTAGATCTCAGTCTCACAACTGGAGCCGAGAACAGAAGACGAGCGAGTAGCCCGCCACGAAACAGAGCCGGAACCAAGGCTGAAGGTGTAACCCTGTGGCGACCGCTGCGTAGCCTGGTCGTCAGCCCAAGAAGCGTCTGCGTGCCCACTGAGGACCATTGGACTCTGCCCTCCAAGCACAAGCCCCATGCCCGACGTACTGCACAAGTAGCGCAACACCCTCTTCGCTGCAGCCATGTGCTCCGGTCTGTATCTCCCAGGAGCAACATAGTGTGCGAGAATGCTAAGAGGGTATGCAAGGTCAGGTCGAGTGAAGGTCATCAGGTACATGAGGCAGCCAACAAGCTCTGGGTACGGGCCACTCGACTCTACGGACTCATCCGAAGGCAGAGCTGAGAGCGAGTGGCGAGTAGGCAGAGGAGTGGCCTGAGGCGAGGAGTACGTGAAGCCGAAGCGCTGAAGGACCTGCTGCACCATGTGTGACTGAGTCAGGGTAATGGTGCGGCGTGCTCTGTCCCGAGTGATCTGCAAGCCAAGGTAGCTGCGTAGTTCACCCAGGTCTGTGCACGTGTGTCTCTTCTGCAGCTCGGACTTCACGTGGGCGAGTCCAGCAGTGTCAGCTCTGGCAAAGACCAAGTCGTCGACGTACACGAGGATGTAGAATGGCGGCAAAGAAGTGTCAGTGCACAGAAACAGCGACGGGTCGACAGTAGAGGGAGCAAACCCAAGAGCCGCAAGTGTAGTCCTCAGGTTGTCGTGCCACTCATGTGGTGCCTGGCGGAGACCGTAGATTGGCCGCCGGAGGCTCCAGTGGGTGCCAAGGTCTGAAAGTAGTCAACTCCCTGTCGCTTACTGAAGCCACGAGCCACGTACCGCACCTTGAAGATAGGCCGAGAACCCGGCGGCCGCTTCACCCTGAAAATCCACATGCCACTGACGATGTTCGCCCTTGGCGGCGGAACCTCGTCAACGTAGGTGCCTGTGGAATTCCAGAAAGCCATCTCTGCGTTCATAGCTGCCTGCCATTGAGAGGATTAGGGACCCTCTATCGCCTCCGCGTAAGAGCGCGGAGTCGGGATGTCAAGTGCATCCGGGTCTCCCTCGGGGGTAAGCAGTGCGGACACGAGATGAGGTGAAGCAGCAGCCAGACACTGGAACTCCTCCTGCCTGTCCTCAAGGACGTCCGTGCCAAGGGCACACTCACCCCCGACGGACGGAGGACAAACACACTCAGACTCAACGACAAGACTAGCAGCGTAGTCTAGACGACAGCGAGCAGTAAAGTCGACAAGCTCAGTAACTAGGGCAGACGCAGCAGTGGACTCAAAGGAAGGGTCAGTGACGACAGTAACAAGGAGACGCGTGACAGTAGGACTGGCAGCACGAAGAGAGTCCGACTCCGGGTCGGCAAGACCAAGAAGAGAGGACTCAGGAGGAGAAGGCAAAGGGGCACGCAGAGGAGCAGTGGACGGACGCAGAGACATCCGGTGCGTGCCAGAGACAGGAGGAGGACGCTGACGCGAACCACGACCACTAGTGCGAGCAGGACGGACAGGCGACGTAGGGCAAGACGCAGGCTCACGACGCTCAGCAAGACCTCCAGTAGGACCAGTGTAGGGAGAAGGAGCAGGCAGTGGAGAGGCCGGCTGTAACTGTGACGGGACAGGCTGTGGACACTTTAAGGGAGGAGAAGGACCAGTAGAAGGCGGGAGACCAAGAACCTGCTGAAGGAGCGGAACGAAGTACGGCCGAGGCCGCGCGGCGACTCCAGACACAGCAGGGATAGCACGTGTACCCCCAGCGGCAACACCAGCGCCAGCAGCACCTCCAACTCTAGTACCTCCAGCAGCACCGCCTCCAGGACCGACAGCAGTAGCCTCAGTGCCAACACCCTCAGCAGCTCCTGCTCTAGTCGTACCCGCAGGCCCAGCAGCTCCAGTACTCCCAGTACGAGCAACTCCGGGACCCGCGGTAGCAGCACCCTCAACAGCCGAAGAACCTCCAGCTCCAGCAGCGCACCTCCAGCGCCGGGCAAACCACTCGCGCAACTCCTGTGAAGAGAGTGGCTCCCTCCGAGACGAAGCACCCGGAGAACCTCTAGGCTCAGCACCGCCAGACGCCACACGAGTAGGCCCAGCTCCCTCAGGCTCCGCACCCCCTGGCTCAGCACCCCCAGGCGTAGCAACCCCAGGCTCAGCAACCCCAGGCTCAGCACCCCCAGTGGTAGCACCCCCAGGCTCAGCACCCCTAGGCTCAGCACCCTCTGTAGTAGCACCCTCAGGCTCAGCACCCCGAGGCGTAGCATCCACACGCTCAGCACCCCCAGAGTCAGCACCCCCAGGCTCAGCACCCTCAGCAGCACCAGAGTCACCAGTAACCTCGACAGGCTCGACTGCGTCTACCTGGCACACACCTGAAAGGGCAGGACCCTGAGGGGGGAGGGGGTCCACCAGGGGGGGACCTGGCACAAGGAAGAGGGGTGGTGGGGGGAGGGACGGAGTGCGGTGGGGGAAGAGGCGGTAGTAGGGGACCGACTCGTCAAACGTGACGTCCTGGGAGGACAGAACACGACGAGAGGTGGGGTGGTAGAACTGCCACCCAGGAGCGTCAGGGGGGAAGCCAAGGAAGACACAGGGAGCAGCACGAGGGGACAGCTTGTCCGTAGACAAGTCGCAGAAAAACGCCCGAGATCCCCAGACACGGAACGCAGACGCATCGCCAACCTTCCCCGTCCACAGCAAAGCTGGGGAGGTGTCCGGCATGGAGACCCTGGGGTGAAGGTTGAGATGATGCGCCGCGAACCGAACCGCAAACGGCCACAGAAAATGGGGGGCAGCCGCATGCATCATGGATGTACGGGCGACGTCCATGACCATGCCAATGCGGCGCTCAGCAATCCCATTTTGCTGTGGAGAGTCCGGAAGCGTGAAGGTCTGGCGGATGCCGCGTGCACGACAGTAGGCTCGCAGAAGGCCAGAGGAGAACTCTCCGCCTCTGTCAGAGTGCAGACGCTGAACAGGAAAGTCCGAGCCGAAGCTCTGCCTGAGCTGGAGACGAGCTGCGCGGATCCAGTCGATCAACACCTCAGTGACATCACCCTTGCTGCACAAGTGGAAGACTGTGGTGTAACGCGAGTAGTCGTCAACCACCAGCAGGAAGTAGCGCTCGTGACCCAGTCGACGGACGCGGGCGGGGCCCCACACGTCCATGTGAAGCGTCTGCAGTGGGTCCTCAGTCGGAGGAAACTGGGAGGAGTGAGGGGCAGCCAGCTGGCGCCCCTCGACACATGGGACGCAGGTAGGGCCAGGCCCTGGAGGAATGGAACCGGGGAAGACCAGAGACAAGGACACAGGAGGCCATGCCACGGAGACGAAGCAAGGAGGGGTAACCAAGGCGGTGGTGCTAGAGGAGAGTCTCGTGAGACAGGAGGCGACACGAGCAGGGGGCAGACTCAGGACCAGACGTGGACGCTGCAGCAAACACCTGACCCGACGCAGCTACCTGACCAGACGCAGGGAAAGGAGGAGACGCAGTGGTCAGTGTGTACAGGCTCGACCCCGGCCGACGAGTAAACGTGGCCAAGTGTCGGCCTGTCCGAGCGTCCGTGCAGTGGGTCACCCGCTGGCTCGCAGGAGTGAACTGGTGAACTCCCCCATCCTGAAGGTCAGCACCACTCACCAAGTTCGTAGAGAACGAGGGGAGGTAAAGACCAGACAGGGTGCCAGAGGGAGCCGCCGGACACGGGAGGACAGTGGAGAAGTGAGCAAGGACAGGACCCCCAGAGGGGTCTGCCAGAGAGACTGCAACTGGCCGACCAAGCGGCGTGAGTGTGGTGCGGTCTCGAAAGAAGGAGCGAGAAGCCCCCGAGTCAAGGGTGAAGGTGAGGGAGGCCGAAGCCGGCTCGGTACCTGAGAGCGCGGACTCACCAGCACCTGAGGAAGCAGACGCACTAGCACCTAGAGCAGCAGCCTCGCTAGCACCTAGAGCAGCAGCCTTACCAGTACCAAGAGCAGCAGTCTCAATGCCCGGGTCGGGCGGGAAACACCGGTATTTGTCACCCTCATCACTAATAGTCACAGCATACATGGCAGCAAGAATAGCATCAAAGTCAAGGTCAAAGATAGCTACTCCCAACCTAGAGAGCTCACCCCAGCGGGGGATCTCCGTGGCCTCCGGGAACTGGTGACGCCAAGCGTACGTCAGGCGGCAAAAGTAGCGCTGGGTGGAGTGCGCACCCCCACACTGCTCACCCGCACGGTCACTGGTGCGTAGGACGTAGGTGCACGGACCAGTACCCCCACCCCGCTGGCGTGTAGCGTACCACTCACGGAGCTGCTGAGGGGGGGGGATGTCACGAGTGCGCTGCTGCCGCTGCTGCTGCTGGCACTGACCACCACCGGAGCCGACCCTCTGCGCAGCGCCACCCCGACCAGCTCCACCTCCTCCGCCACCGCCTCCTCTACCGCCGCCACCTACGCCACCTCCGCTCCCACCGCCACCGCCGCCGCCTCCGCCTCCACTGCCGCCACCGACACCTCCACCCCCGCCACCACCCCCACCGCAACCCCCACTCCCTCCGCCGCCTCCACCGCCGCCTCCACCGCCCCCGCTAGCTTCTCCAGCGCCCCTGCCCCCCTTGCCCTTGCTAGAGCGGCGTCTCCCGCTAGGGGCAGACGCCGCACCGACCGACTCAAGCCCAACGAGGTCGGCCGCAGCAGCAGAGGCAAAAGAGGGCAAAAGGGGGGAGGGGGAACACCCCTCAAAGATGGGGGTGCGAGGGTCACCACGAGAGGCTCCTACAGCGACTATGCTCTTCTCGGCTGCTAGGAGGGCCTTCTCGAGGAGGTCAACAGTGAGAGTGGTGGGGCAAACTGAGAGGAAGTGGTCCCTGACTACGCGAAGGGTGTCAGGCAGGCGAGTGACGATGTAGTAGAGAGTGATGTACATGGGGGGGGGGGTTCTTGGCACAGAAGTCAGGAGGAAGCGCAGTGCGGTAGCGAGTGTCACTAGTGCGGAGGTGCGTAATGAGGTCAGCGACTGTGGGAAAGGCAGCAAGGTCAGGGAAGAGGTATGGTAGCATGAGGCGGCTCAGTGCAGCAGTGGCAGGGGAGGAGTAGCGTGCAACTACAGCGTCGTACAGGGTCTGAGCACTCTTGTACTGGCTAAAGTGCGCACGCTCAGAGGTAGGCAGGTGGCAACGCACAGCAAGACGTGCAGCAGCATCGCGAGTGGCCCACTGTGAGCGAACAGTGGCGTCAGCATCAGCAGCAGGAGCAGGAGAGGCACCAGAGGTGAGGTCAAAGAGGGAGAGACCGTGTGCCCTATCGCACTGTAGGAAAAGCTGCAGGTCATCTACCCAGACGTCAAAGTCAATGGCCCGACCCTCAGCGTCAAAAGCGAGGACACTAGGGGTAGCCATGACAGCAGTAGACTAGTAGCGCGAACAGTGGGGTAAGGGCAGTGCAGTGACAGAGGCGTTGCTCTTACCGGACAGGGCGGCTCGGGCGGCTCGGCAGCTCGGCGGCTCGGCAGGAACTGCAGCTCGGCGGCTTTGCGACTCGGTGGCTCGGGCGGCTAAGCGGCAACTGCGGCCCGGCGACTCGGCGGCTCGGGCGGCTCGGCGGTACGGCGGCTCGGGCAGCTCAGGTGGCGTGGCGGCTCGGGCGGCTCGGGTGGCGCTGGCGGCTCGGCAGTAGCTCGGCGGGGCCGCGTGAAGACGGGGCCGGGGCCGGGAAGGGCGGGCGACGGGGCCAGCAGAGGCTGGGCCGGGGCCGGGAAGGGCAGTGCCAGGGCCAAGAAGGGCGGCGTCGGGGCCGTAGAGGTAGGCGACGGGGCCAGCAGAGGCGGGGCTGGGTCGGGAAGGGCGGCGTCGGGGCCGGGAAAGGGCGGCGCCGGGGCCGCAAGGTAGGCGACGGGGCCAGCAGAGGCTGGGCCGGGTCGGGAAGGGCGGCGTCGGGGCCGAGAAAGGGCGGCGCCAGGGCCGCGGGGTAGGCGACGAGGCCGCAGAGCGGCGGATCGGGGCCGGGAAGGGCGGCGTCGGCGCCGGGAAGGGCAGCGCCGGGGCCGCAGGGCTAGGCGTCGGGGCCGGGAAGGGCGGCGCCGGGGCCGCAGGGCTAGGCGACGGGGCCAGCAGAGGCAGGGCTGGGCCGGGAAGGGTGTCGCCGGGGCTTGGGAAGGGCAGCGCCGGGGCCGCGGGGTAGGCGATGGGGTTGCTAGGGCGGCGGATCGGGGCCGGGAAGGGCGGCGCCGGGGCCGCAGGAGTAGGCGACGCGGCCGTTAGGGCGGCGGATCGGGGCCGCTAGGGCGGCGGGACGCAGCCGCTAGGGCGGCGCGACGGGATGGGGCCGCGAGGGCGACGCGACGAGGCCTCTAGCGCGACGCGACGGAGCAGCTAAGGCGGCGCGAGAGGGTCAAGAGAGAGGAGCGTGACTCGGGCAGGAACTGAGCACGCTCCGGGCAGGAAACAAAAATCGAATTGGTGGGCCCTAGGAACAGTTCCCACGAGGGAACCTGCTCGATACCATGAGAAAACTAGAACGAGGATGAATGCACTATGAAAGAGTTGGGTACAAGTACTAACCCTAATTGGGTTGTACCCCATATGGGCTACCCCACTACAGCCTACACAAAAGCATAAGCTATATGTTCTGACAACAGGCACCCTCGGCACTAATAGGCAATGCATACATGGCAGTGAGGATAGCATCATAGCCAAGATCAAAGATATCTACCCTCTACCTAAGCAGCTCCAGCCAAGAGGGGAGCTCAGCATCGTCACCAAACTCTGTACGCCAGGCGTCGCTCAGACTGGCGAAGCTCCGGAACTTTGTGTGACCAACCGTCCCGCAAGGCTGACCAGTCCGAGCACCAGTGCGAATGACGTACGGGCAGCGAGCAGTACTCCGTGACCCTCTACTCTAAGCGTACCACTCACGAAGCTGCTGGGGCGAAAGGACCGCGCGCGGACGCTGCTGCAGCTGCACCTGGTCACTACAAGAAGCTCCCGAACGACCCGCCCCTAGACGACTCCCACCACGGCCACCCCTACAACCCCAACTAGCGTACCACTCACGAAGCTGCTAGGGCGTGAGGGACTCACGCGGACGTCGCTGGAGCTGCATCTGGCCACCGCCAAGAGCAGCAGTAGCAGTAGTAGCCGCACTAGTAGCAATAACAGTAGTAGCAGTAGTAGCAGCAGTAACAGCAGTAGCAGTAGTAGCAGCGCGGCCACCCCTACAACCTCAACTAGCGTACCACTCACGAAGCTGCTGGGGCATGAGGGACTCACGCGGACATCGCTGGAGCTGCATCTGGCCACCGCCAGGAGCGGCAGTAGCAGTAGTAGCAGTAGCAGCAGCAGTAGCAGCAGAAACAACAGCACGGGCAGAGCAGTGTGGCTCAGTAGAGCAGGGCTGCACAGCCCGGCAGCACGACACGGCTTGGCTGGGCGGCTCGGCGTCGCAAGGCGGCTCGGCTCAGCTGGGCGGTGCGGCTCGGCTGGCAGGCAGGCGCGGCAGGCAGACAGGCAGGCCAGCGCCGCAGTGCGCTAGTATGGCAGGCGCGCAAGAAGCGCGGGTAGGGCAAGTGCTCACCAGTGGCGGGAAGGGAAGTCGCTCGCCGGGCGAGCAGGGTAGGCACACGACAGCGGCGACGGTGGGGCCGGGACAGCTGCAGGGCGGGGCCGCGACAGCGGCAGGGGGCTCCGTGGCAGCTGCTGCAGGGTGGGGCCGCGACTCCTTCAGGCGGCTCCGCGGCAGCTGCAGCAGGGCGGGGCCGCGACGACGACAGGGGGCTCCGCGGCAGCTGCTGCAGGGCGGGGCCGCGACTGCTGCAGGCGGCTCCGCGGCAGCTGCTGTAGGGTGGGGCCGCGACGGCGGCAGGGGGGGCTCCGCGGCAGCTGCTGCAGGGGGCGCCGCGACGAGCAGGGGCGATGCCTCGGGGGCGCCGCGACGAGCAGGGACGGCGCCCAGGGTGCGCCGCGACGAGCAGGGGCGACGCCCTGGGGTCGCCGCGACGAGCAGGGAAGGCGCCTCAGAGGCGCCACGACGACCAGGGAAGGCACCCAGGGGGCGCCACGATGAGCAGGGGCGACGCCCCGGGGGCGCCGCGACGAGGAGGAGCGGCGCCCAGGGGGCGCCGCGACGAGCAGGGGCGACGCCCCGGGGGCGTCGCGACGAGCAGGGATGGCGCCCAGGGGGCGCCGCGACGAGCAGGGGCGACGCCCCGGAGGCGCCGCGACGAGCAGGGATGGCGCCCAGGGGGCGCCGCGACGAGCAGGGAGGGGACGACGCGCGGGTCCCGCAGGGGCAGCTCCCATGGGCTGCAGAGGAAGGCACGGCTGCAGGGGCAGCGCCCACGGGCTGCAGGGGCAGGCACGGCTGCAGAGGCAGCGCCTACGGGCTGTAGGGGCAGGCAGGGCTGCAGAGGCAGCGCCCACGGGCTGCAGGGGCAAGCACGGCTGCTCGGGAGGGCGACGCGCGGGCTGCAGAGGCACCTCCCACGGGCTGCAGGGGCAGGCACGGCTGCAGGGGCAGCACGGTCGCAGGTGCAGCACGCGGGCTGCAAGGGCAGCGCGGCTGCAGGGGCAGCTAAAAAAAAAAATCAGTTAGGGCAGGGCGGAACGTCACCCCGGCAGGACTATAGGGAGCCAGAAAGGCAGCGCCTCCACCGTTTATCGAGCTGGACCACTACAACGCTCTGATAGAGCTGCTGGGAGGGCGGAGGTCGGAACAATATGAGGTGCAAGGGACTGGAGTGGAGATCAAGGTGTATTCCAAGGTGACGAAGGCGTACCCGTATGTTTTTCACCAGTCGGGGGATAAGACGACGAGTGGGGTGGTGTATGAGATAGTGGGGAATTGTGTGCAGATAACTACTACAATGGGAGCTAGACTTCGGGCTAGGCACGGATGCTCGTGTGATCTCTGCGTTCGTTGGTCCTTAGTCCCTTTCCTAGTGCACACATTGCTTGCTAGTTCACAGGACAAATTGGCAAGAGTTTCACTAGAGAAAGTTGACAACAATGGTACAATGAAGTAGGCATGGCAAGACTACATCAAAGCTAGCATGCAAGCAGGTCGAGTGCCAGCGTAGCACGGTCGACCGCGTTCTAGCACGACTTGGTCGACCGCGCTCCAGCAGTGCAAAGTCGACGGCGTGCCAACGTTGCACCCGCAGTACAGCAGCCCACCAGCTTCGCAGGTGCTCGCAGGTGATTGGCGTGCTGAGCTCCGTCACCTGCACAGAGCATACACCAAGTCAACCTGGTGCTGACGACTGCATCTGATTAGCCACGTCGACCTCGGGATACCACCACCGAGGTCGTACTCACCAACTTTGCCTGGGCAACCGTTGCACTCCTCCGCAGAACCTCGTCACCCAGGTAATCTGGTCGACCGGGCAACCACGCCGACCAGCCGCTCTTGTATGTGCCCGTCGACCTCCCAAGTCGACGACCACCCCAAGTCGATCTCACCAGGTCGACCACACCCCTGGTCGACCAGCTCCAGGTCGACGTCGTTCCTGGTCGACCAGCTCCACGTCGACCAGTGCGGTTGTCACCCAGCCACCCAAGTCGGCTACCTGAAGTTAGCGTCACCAAGTTGACGCCCGGCGACTCGACGCCCAGCTGCTCAGCGTCCAGAGTCGAGGTCGACGTCGGCCCCTCCTCCGTTGACCACCAGGTCAGGTCAACCACCAGGTCGACATCACGCCTGGTCGACCAACCACCAAGTCGACCAGTAGTCCTGTCAACCGACCACCCAAGTCGGCTGCCCCAAGTTGGCGTCACCAAGTTGACGCCCTCTGCGGGTCGACTTCCCAGGTCGACCTTCTTGAAGTCGCCGCCACCCCGAGGTCGGCGCGCGTACAGTGGCTCCCATGCAGGTCGACCTCCTCGTCAACCAGCTCGCCCACTGCTACAGGTTGGATGCTTCCCTCGCACCCGACCATGGAAACGGCTCCGCCCAAGCGAGGATGGGGCCAACACCCAACTCTCGTTGACAAATGGGACCTTGGATGGTATTGCCTTTGAAGGGATGGATTTATTGTAGTCATGGTAGGTTTTGGTAGGTGACAATCCACTTTGTGTTTTCCTATGTAACAACTCTTAGTATCTTCAAAGAATACAAGTGTACCGCATAGAATCTGAGCAATGACAAAACAAGTGTACCGTATAGAGAAAATGAGCAGTGAACAACAAAATAAATTTTCTCCGGTTCTGTTGGCTTGCAGGTTTCGTCGAATACTGTTTTGGCGAGCTGGTGCTTATGCAAAACTTATTTCAGCTTTTCTCGCTTCAAACGTTTTGGGGATAAATCCAAACTATGTTACATCCCATCCTGGATATGGATTACTCCCATTTCCCCTCCCCTCCTGCCTCATACACTCCACCCTCGGTTCCCCCATCTTCCCTAGTCTTTTAGTGCCCCCATGCCCCCTGTGCTGCTGACCCTCCCTTACCTTCTTTTACAGAGCAGGCCGGCAAGCATGTCTACTAACGTGGGTGACACTTTTCGTGAAACTACCTTAACGTTTTCCTCTGCATCCCATTGGCTTATTACTGTGTTTGGCTTATTCAGATCTAGGCGGCTAATCATCTCATTCAATGTATTTACTAACTTACCCACTCACTCTTTTGTGCTTCTTTCCCTTGTATCACCAATTTCTCCTCCTCTTGCTTTACCCGTCCCTCTCTCTGCCTAACCCCCATCTCCACTCCACCAACCTCCCTCTTTGTCCTTCTCCCCCTCGCTGCCCACTTCCCTCCTATCTCCCATCCCTCTCCTCCTCACCAGCACTCCTCTCATCGGCATAGGCGAGTGGTTGCAGAGCCCGCTTTCCCCTGTGTCATCACCAATGCGCTTCTTTCTGTATTATCCTCTCATCGCACTCATCTTCCATTCCACACACTTCGTTTTCCACTTCTACTTTCCCCTCTGTCCCTCCTCTCCTCCCCATCAGCCTCTCTAGCCATTCGCAGCAATTCGCAGCGCAAAATATATCATCGGCACGGACGAGTGGTTGGATGATACGATCACATGTCATCTGATCGGGCTACGCCTTTTCAGCACCACTCCCACCCTCCCCACCTCACACTTGGGCACCCATACTCAATCTCGCAGTCGAGCAGCAGCAGGGCAGACAAAAGCAGAGAATGCAGGAGGAGGAGCAACAGGAGCGGCAGAAGCACATGCAGTGGAAACAGACGAAGGCAGTGGTGCAACCGAGACAGGAAAATCTGCAGCAGCAGAAACATCAGAAGCAGGTCCAGCGGAATCGCGAATCACAAAAGGCACACCTGAAGAAACACCTGGAAAATCACCTGAAGAGAATCCTGAGAAAATATCAGATCGACCAGCTTCCCCTCTCTCATCCTCCTCCCCCTCCACTCCCTCCTCTCCCCCCCAACCTCCCTCTGCCCTCACGCTCCTCTGGCCAATCATAGTGCACCCCCATTTCAAGGCCTCTAATGTGCACGTTCTCGTGCTCCCATTGGTGGCGCCCTGCCACGTGGAAGCGTATGAGAGGCTGTGCTGGCAGCGCACTTGTGGGGGAGGGGCGGGGTTGGCGCATGGGGGTGGGAGCTGGGGAGGGGGAGGGGGAGTGGGGGTAGCAGGGGGGGGGGGCGCGGGTGGTTTGGGGGGCGCTACTATTGGTGGTTCCAGTGGACCCACGCTGTCTGCTCTGCATGCCAACCTGCCCGCTGTTACAGCGTGAGTGATTGCATTGCAATCTGCAAGTCAAGCCTTGCCAGTGAAGTGGGAGGGGGAGGGGTGGGTGGTACTGATGCTTGCCAACCTGCCTGCACTGCTTGCCAACATGCCTGCAATGCTTGACGACCTGCCTGCACTACTTGCCGACCCGCCTGCTCTGACAGCGTGAGTGAGATCAAGAGCCATCTCTGACACTGCAAGCACCTTGCTCTCGCATTCCCCGTCCCCTGTCCCTTCCTTTCCTTTCCTCAGGGCAATCTTTCCTACTCAATGCGTTGAGTTTCTTTTCTGACTGCTATCTGCCGCCTCTCTGCTTGCATCCTTCCCCCTCCCCCTCCTCTCTCCCTCTCCCATTTGAGGGTCGTCTTGCTCGCTCACTGCATCGATTCTCTCATCTCAACCGACTCTACCGTCACTCCCATGGCTCCCCCACGCACCTCCCCTCTCCGCCCCCTCCGCCCCCTCTTCAGCCCTCCCCTCCATCTCCCTCACTGGGGGAGGAGGAGGAGGATATGGGGGAGGAGGGATGGGAGGGGTGGGCGCTGGTGCGAAGGCTTGTTCTTTGGGCTCTAGCACCATTAGCAGCAGTACCAGTAGTAGTGTTGCTGCTGCTGCTGCTGCTGCCGCTGCTGCTGCTACTGAGGGAAAATGGGGGGTGGAAGAGGGGGAGGGGCAGGGGGAAAGGGAGGGGCAGCAGCAGGAGGGAGCGGCTTAGGGTTTGGATCACTAGGGGCGATAGGGGCCAGTATGGGCATGTCCCGAACCAAGACCGCCCAAATCAGCCAGCTTGGTTCCGCGCCAGGCTTGGGCGGAGGCTCGGGAGGAGGGGATGTGGGGAGGAAGGGTGGGGGTGTAGGGGATGGTGTGATGCTCCAGCTGCTAAAAGCGGCTGAGCTGGAGGGCATCAGACTGCTCATCTCAACGTATCTCCCCTTTGGTGAGAATGCATTCCACTTGTCCTAGTTCGCACATTGAAGGCTTTGAAACGATGTTTGAAGGGAGCAGCTGAACTGGAGGGGATTAGACTGCTCGTTTCAACGTATCTCCCCTTCGGTAGGAGATGCGTCTTCTGCTGGTTCTGAATTTCAATGCCCTCGAGACGAGGGTTGGGAAGTGGAAGGGACAGTGTGGGCAGCTATTCAGGGCAATTCTCCATGTAAATGAAACCCCAATTTCTTCTCTTTCCCTATCCCTCCACCCCCAGTCCCTTCCAAAACATGGCCTTGCTTGCCTGCAGGTCAACCTGCCGACTTCCCCACACCTGCCACCATCACCACGCTTCGCACCCAACCAGCTGCCTACTTACAAGAACTCTCACCCTACCTTCACCCACCTGTTCGCGCTGGTCGCACTAGTTGTCGTGTCCCGCGTCCGCGTCCTCCTCCTGTCCCCGGCACTCACTTGATGACGCTTTGTCCTTCCTCTACTCCGCTGCGAGTTCCCCTGCCGTCTCCTCCTACATCCTCCCTTCCTGACGATCCAAACCCTGAGTCTGACTTGGTTCGTGCTGCTAGTCCTACTGTCACACGTCTTCTAGCCACTGTTGTCACTAACCCTTCGTTTCACACTACTGCTGCGTCTTCCCTTGCTGCTGAGCTTGTTGACTTTGGTGTCGCCTGTCGTCTTGACTACGCCACTAGTCTTGTTGCCGAGTCTGAGTCTGACTGTCCTCCGTTCGTCGCGGCTGAGTGTGTTCTTAGCACGGACGTACTTGATGATAGGCAGGAGGACTTTGAGTGTCTTGCAGCTGCTGTACATTATCTCGTGTCCATGCAGCTTGCACCTGAGGGAGACCCGGATGCACCAGACATCCCAACCCTGCGCTCTTACGTAGAGGCGATTACGGGTCCCTACTCCTCTCACTGGCAGACAGCCATGGATGCAGAGATGGCATCCTGTAAGTCCACAGGCACTTACGTCGACGCAATTCCCCCTCCTTGGGCGAACATAGTCGATGGCATGTGAGTTTTCAGGGTGAAGCGGCCGTCGGGTTCTCTACCTGTCTTCAAGGCATGTTACATTGCACTAGGCTTTAGTCAGTGACAGGGAGTTGACCTCTTCCAGACCTTCTTCCCTACCTCGAAGATGACCACTCTTTAGGTGCTGTTGTACGTCGCCGCTCAGCGTGACTACGAGTTTCACTCCCTTGACTTCAACACTGCTTTCCTACAGGGCAGCTTGCATGAGGAGATCTGGCGGCGCCGCCCACCTGGCTTCACTGGGTCGTTTCCTGCAGGTACCCAGTGGAGCCTCCGGCGGCCAGTCTATGGTCTCCACCAGATGCCTCGCGAGTGGCACGACACACTGAGGACGATTCTTGCGGCTCTTGGGTTTGCTCCTTCGACCGCTGACCCGTCGCTGTTTCTGCGCACCGACACTTCGCTGCCACCATTCTACATCCTTGTGTATGTCGACGACTTGGTTTTTGCCACTACTGACTCTGAGGCACTGGCCCTAGTGAAGTCGGAGCTCCAGAAGAGACACATGTGCACAGACATGGGTGTGAGAAAATGAGAACGAGAGTGTAGTTAGATGCTAGGTTTAACTAGGGCCTAGGCTTAGTAGCCTAGGCCCAAGGAGGATGTCGAGTAGGTTGTGCCAAGGCAAGGGTATCGAGAAAGTTGGGAATGTGATTGTTCACTATAGCAAGAGAGTACATATAGCAAACAAGTGAAGAAAGAGGTGCACCACCTATAAAGTTCATATCTACACTACAGCTAGAACTACATGCAGGTATAAGAATATAATTCTGACACCCACAGTACCCATGACCCCAAATCTCGAAAATCCGGTGCTACGCGCGCAACAGTTCGCCGTAATTTTGCAAGCACCAGACGCAATAGAATTATCGAACATCATCACTAAACGCAACGCCAATCGCCACTGCCGACCTGTCACTTACCAGCCCGACGACCTAGTTTTACTCGACACCCAGAACCTCCGCCTGCCCATCACCCCAAAACTTAACCCCCGAAATTGCGGGCCATTTCGCATAAGCCATATGATCACACCCTTCACCGCCCACCTCTTCCTCCCTGCTGACTAGTACGTCAGCCCGTCCTTCCACGTCATCCTGCTTCGTCCTTACGTACCATCCACCAGCCAACTGCCTCGCAACCGCCCCGCCAGCATGACACGACCGCCGACCGAGCCAATCATCACGCATTCTGAGCCACCGAGTTCATGACCCACGAGAAGCTCGAAGGATCGAGTTTTTGATCCGCTGGAGAGACCGTACGCCCACCGAAGACTACTAGGTTCCCGTGGACAGAATTGAAATCCACCCCGTCCTCACTGAGTATCTGCGCAGCCAAAATTCTCGGGACGTACACGCGCTTTCGTAAGGAGGGCCTCCTTAGGGGGGGGGGGGGGGGGTAGTGTTAGGAAAACTCATTTTCCTTACTTTGCATCCCTGCTCAGCGCGTACAACACTGTTCCTGCCAACAGCACCCAACAGTAAACCGTTACCACTCGCGACACTCGCCTCGACACTGTTCTCGCCACTGTTCACGACGCGACCCAACCTCACAGTTCGGTTGGCAACCCGCGCTCCGAACCTCCGCCTCGACATTTCCCGACCTCGGCGCTAGGCCCGTCGCGCACCCCATTTTCCACACATTACCGTTACAACTGTAGATTCGCTTTATATTCTTCGCTCATGCCTTCGCTCATTGTACCCTTGCTTCGATTGTGCAATTCTCGTTCGTTCACTCAATTGCACTCGTAAAAGACATATTTGTCAGGTACAAGCAAAATAATCGTGAACATTGTGTGTGCGGCGAGTTCACCCAGCTTCGCCAGATCTGCTGCCTCATCGGGATCGTCGCTAGGGTAGCCATCATCTTCCAGCTCCTTCACTTCAGCGTCGCTTGCACGGAGCTTTCCGCAACAGGCGGCTTTATGACCTTATCCGCTCCGCAGAGCGGCTAAATAGGGTCGGCGCAGGAAGGTCAGGGGCGGCTGCAGGGAGTGCAGGTGCGGAGAGCACTGTCGCGTGCCACGGGGCGCACGACGGGCAAGTTCAAGTTTAGAGCACCGTCGTGTGCCACGGGGCGCACGACGAGTAGGGCACCGTCGCGTGCCACGGGGCGCACGACGGGCAAGTTTAGGGCACCGTCGCGTGCCACGGGGCGCGCGACGGGCAGAGAAGGTGTCACTCGCCACCCGGGGGCGGGACAAGACGAAAATCGCCACGCGCCCTAGGCGCGCGACCGGAAAAATAGCAGCGGAATCATAAGGCGGGCTCACAGGCCAGGACGAAACACGCTCTGAATCCATGAGAAAATGAGAACGAGAGTGTAGTTAGATGCTAGGTTTAACTAGGGCCTAGGCTTAGTAGCCTAGGCCCAAGGAGGATGTCGAGTAGGTTGTGCCAAGGCAAGGGTATCGAGAAAGTTGGGAATGTGATTGTTCACTATAGCAAGAGAGTACATACAGCAAACAAGTGAAGAAAGAGGTGCACCACCTATAAAGTTCATATCTACACTACAGCTAGAACTACATGCAGGTATAAGAATATAATTCTGACAGGGTGAGCTGCGCAGCTATCTTGGCTTGCATATCACCCGGGACAGAGCACGACGCACCATTACATTGACACAGTCACATATGGTGCGGCAGGTCCTTCAGCGCTTCGACTTCTAGTACTCCTCACCACAGTCCACTCCTCTGCCTACTCGTCACTCTCTCTCAGCTCCACCTTCGGATGAGTCCATAGAGTCGAGTGGCCTGTATCTAGAGCTTGTGGGCTTCCTCATGTACCTGATGACCTGCACTTGACCTGACCTTGCCTACCCTCTTAGCATCCTGGCACGCTACATTGCGCCCAGGAGACATCGACCAGAGCACTTTGAGTCCGCTAAGAGGGTGTTGCGCTACTTGTGCAGTACGTCGGGCATGGTGCTTGTGCTTGGAGGACGGGGTCGAGTTGTTCTCACTGGCCACGCAGACGCGACTTGGGTTGACGACTTAGCTACGCAGCGGTCTTTACAGGGTTACACCTTCAACCTTGGCTCCGGTTCTTTTTCTTGACGGTCTGCCTACTCGTCTTCTGTTCTCAGCTCTAGTTGTGAGGCTGAGATCTACGCCACATCCATGGCTGCACAGGAGTTACGCTGGCTCACCTATCTGCTGACCAGCCTCGTTTTCCTCCAGTTCTGTACGTCAACAACAAGGCCGCCATTGCCTTGTGTCAGGAGCATAGACTGGAGCACAGAACAAAGCACATCGCTCTCCTCTACTTCCTGGCTCGAGAGTTACAGTAGCGTGGTCAGCTTCGTCATGTTCACGTGGCCACTCGGACCAACATTGCTGATATATTCACCAAGGCACTTCAGCTTGGTGATCACCAGCGTTTCTGTACTATTTTAGGCCTTGTGCCTGCTTTGTATCACTTGCTCATTTAGTGACTTTGCTTGTACTGTGATGTATATACTTCTCCTGCATGCTTACACCTTCTAGGTTGTGATCATTGTACTGCTTGTTTCCATTTATATGACACTGCATGTGAGCTGGCCTTGTGGCCATTTGCTTATGCTCAGAGTGTGTGGTGACTTCGTGATCCACCCTGAGCTTGCCTTGCTTTTCTTGACCGGTCTTGTGACCCCTTGTTCTCCCCCACTTTGCCTATGGGGGTGTCAAACTATATATGCTGCATGTTGTGTAGGTTGTAGTGGGGTAGCCCATAAGGGGTACAACCCAATTAGGGTTAGTACTTGTACCAACTTCCTACTCAATGCATTCATTTCTTCGTCTAGATTCTGACAGAACGCATGGGATTTCTCTGCATCTGACCCTCAACAGAGCCTTTTGGGGAGCTTGGTCGTTTCTTCCTGCCCAGGCATTTCACGCATTTCGTGGGTGTTGATAAGATTATCGTTTTGAAGACACTGATGCTGCAGAAGCTGTCTCTCTCAGACCTCCCTGGCTCCCGTGTTTGGCTTTCTGCCCTGAACAAGCTGGTG